CGCAATTAAAAAAATGAATATAGCTAATTAACTTACAACCGGAGAATTTATACTTTGATGATTTTATTGCAGAGCAAGCCCGAAGGGCGATCCAAGGATCATGGTTCTTCGAACCTACAATTTATGTTGTTATTTCGTTTTCACGCTTTCCACATATAATAAAATAGGATGATGTAGAACATCGAATCTCCGATTCTCCAGCTTCATATCTACCTTTTACACTTTTTCCATCTTCATGATTTAATTTACATACTGGGCATAATGATCCCTCAATGATATCATAGTAATCGAATTTTTCAGTAATAAAGGTTTTATATAGATTAGAATATCTGCCCAATATCTTATTACGAAAATAATCACGATCATGTGTAACATTTTCCTTAGTTGAATCTTTTGAATTTGTTTCATTATTGTCTTTATCATCGTTATCATTATCGCCCATATCCTCCTCCTCATCATCAGAAGATTCCTTATTATCGTCTTCATCCTCAGAGGGAGTGGATGTAACACTTACCTCGGTTTCTGGTAAAGTTTGTTCAGTCACGTGTGCGTTCCAATTTGGAACGGAGATTACTTTTCGGTTTTCATTCATAGTAGTTGTCTTAGAAAAATCGCTTATAATATTTTGAATTTGAATATCCTTTAAACTTGAAATAGCGCTTGCACTGTAAGACACCTGGCTAATTTTATCTATTCCTATACCTTCAAGCAATATATAAACTCTTTTAGCTCTGAAAGTTATTTTACGCAAGTTTACATCAGTAACATCAGGTAAAAGTGATTTGATTTCATTATATACCAATGTTCTTGCAGATTTGTCATCAATTTTATCCATAGTCCTAATATTTCTAACTCTATCCTCGTACGCTTTATAATAACAGTACCAGCATAAAATCTCCTTTTGTCTAGTCTTCATAGCAATGTTAAATAAATCAGCTATATTTTCTGCTGTAACTTCACTAGATCCTGTTAGAATCGCTTCTATAGAGAATTCAGGAATCTGTATATCAATTACATCATTAGTTTTGTTACTATCGTTTTTGACGCAAATGGATAATTCAAGCCTCAAACCTTGCTCCACTTTTTGGTTATAGGGAATTTTCTTTACTTCCGATATGGTTATTTTCTCTGATTCATCGAATGTTTCAGGTTCCGATTGGATTATTTTTTGGCTATGGGAAATTTCAGTTGTAGAATTTATTTCAGAAGAAATGGTACGTTGAAGCTTATTTTCCCTATTTTTCTCCCTCATCATATTACTAACTCTTTCCTTTTCTTTACAAATCAGAAAATCATCCATTTCCTTATCTTCTGATGAT